TTGTTTCCCCCATGGATGATTTCAGATGTTTCTTTGACTTGGATGCCTAGTCCAGGGCTATTACTGCCAGTTCTTTCTCCTTGTGTACAGCTAGGTATAGCTCTAGCCTCCTTTTTGTCAGTTTCCTTGCAAATGAGATAAGAGTATATGGCCTCTGGGTTGATGAAGCAACAAACACCAGCTCCTTGAAAAGAAAAGAGGGGGAAAGAGGGAGAGACCCCAGTTCAAACTACTATGGCTACAGATGATAATTAGACCATCTCCGGCAAGGTCCTGGGTGAACGTTTCTTTCTTTCTTTTTAATTGCACCTTCCCCTCCCCCCTTCAGTCCACCAGAAAAGAAAAGGTTGCATAGGTTTAATCACTGAGCTGAGAATAAGATTACCCCATGTCGGAGCCTGAAAGGAACAGCAGTATTGCAGCTAAAATGTGTTCAGCATGCTAACAAGCCTTCAGCCTCAGTGCGCAGTGTCTGTGCATATAGACGACACAAGGAGCCTCAAGGAGTTGATGTTAAAAGGATTCTCACTTGGTGTTTCTCCCCATGCTGTTGATTAGATTTTAATTAGACCACTCTGCCGTAGTAGTCCAAATTATATCCCAGTTTATCCCTGGCTGATGTTCACAAGAGCGATATATCACGAGCAGTAAGTAAACAAATCTTTCAAAGTGACTGGAGGTGAAAACGGAAACCTAAATCTCAGAAGCAATTCACGTTGGATAAGCACAATTGATAGAAAGCATTTTATTGTTATTCTTACATTAAAATTCCTGAGTGAGATAGTTGGCTGATTTTTATACATGGAAATTATTGTATGTGCAGATCCAGAAATCTCAAAGCAGTTTACAGTCTTGCCCTAGCCAAGTTACTTTACACTACTGGGAAGAAATGTGTCATCTGGAACCATTTTAGAATACCAGGGAGATTGCTTATATGAAAAGCGTCAAGAGTTCCATGCATGTGGAAAGTTTACATGTCAGAAAGATTTTGACATGGACCACATTCCAATAAGTGATTTGCAAGCATGCACATACAGTGATCAATGGTGCCCAATGGATGGCTGGTGGGGCTGCTAGGAGATCTCTAGGGGGCTGGGCCAGTGAGAGGCCACAGAGGTGTAGCCAAGTTGTTCTGGTTTTCTCCCCATCCTCCTCCCTTGCAAAAATACTTAAGCTGCAACACTTAAGCATTGCAGTTTTACAAATGGTTAGCACCTAACTAAACTGAAAAGTGTCTTACTTTGGTTCAGAAGGTGTCCCTATTGTCACAGCTGCTTCTCTGCTGGGAGAAAAGTTATGTGTCCCTTGACCTGTTCTGGTTTTTCCCCTATCCTCCTCCTTTGCAAAGAAACAGTGGACACTTAAACACTTCAGTTTTTTCAATACTAAGCACGTTAAGTGTCTTGCGATGGAGGGGTGCCTGCTGCCACAATTTCTAAATGGGCTCATGCCACAATAATGACGTGTTGCTCAGAAGTAAGCCCCACTGAATTCTATAGGGATTGCTCCATGGTAAGTATGAATGTGGCTGCAGCCTGAATTGGATGCTCTTAAAGGTGACATGCAGGGTAGTTAAAAAGGAACACCATGAATTTCCAGACCAATGGGAGATAATTATTCCTTTCCATCAGCTTATCCATTTCTGCAACTTTTTTCCCCCTCTAGAGTGTAGAATAAGCTAGAGGGATACTCAGTGGACTAAGATTTGGGACAGCAGAGTTAAAATCAGGCATGGAATTTACTGTGTAACTTGGGCCAGGTGCCATCTCTCAGCCTAATCTACCTGAAGATGGCATGAATGTCATCTTGAGTTATTTTAAGGAAAAGCGGAATGGATATAAATATAATATTTATAAATAAGAAACAATAAAACAGACTCTCTCCAGATTCCCTGCCCCTGGTTTTTTTCAGGGGCTGGAATCACAAAAAACAGTTCGTCAAATAAAAAAAATGACACACACCAAGGGTATTCAGGCCTCCCACAATTGTAGAAGACATTGCATGAGCTTTCACTTGCAGAACCAGTTAATTGAATCTGGCCCTATGTGGTTGAAGAATTGCATCACAATATTCAGACAAGTGCGAATTTTGTGTGGCAGCTGTGTTTCAGTTCGCATATTATTGCAGGAACTGAAAATTAAGTAGATTTGCATTAAAATGCAAATCAAACCAATTTTCTCCCCCATCCCTAAGTCAGTAACATTGGAGTTCTTCATCCACCTTATCCCCCCTCAAGCCTGGCATCTTCCTTCAGCTAAGAGATGTACATTTTTCTCTTGCTGAGCTACTGCCTTTCCAAATCATTCCCACGAATGCTAAGTAGACCTACTAGTCCCAAAGGATCTCCTCCCCCCTCCTTCTGAACTTGGCATGTTTTTTAAGCTAAACATAAGTTGCAATGTCACAAAGGTCTTCCCTTTCCCTCCACACCTTTTTGTTTTCCTTATTTGGTAAGCTTAGAAACATTTTAGTAGATGCTTGATTCTATCATATTTTTTAAACGTCTGTATTTACTAAGGTGCTGTGAAGTGCTCAGTGGTCCTTGCTTTGGCTCTTGCAGTAGCTCTGTAAAGATCCTACTTCTCTTTGAATAAGCACCCAAACAGGGCTGTCTTAAGCATATGCGGCACCAGGGTGCAAGGATCCGCCCGCCGCCCCCCTCCCCAGTTGCCCAGTCCCAGGCGTGCAGGAGGGCAGAGCCAGCCAGCCACTTCATCATCTCGCTGGCTCAGTTGCCCCTGAACCTGCGGTGCAGAGCCGCCTGCGGCGCTCCGACTGATGGACTTCCCCGGACTCAACTCTCGGGCCCCGGACTCTCAGCCTATGGATAAGCACCTATGGATAAGATGGCCCTGCACCCAAATCCCACAAGGCACTTTGCCTCAGCTTGGGAGTTGTCCAACTCAAATTCTGACCTGGGGACTGATAGAGCAGTTGGGCTTTGAATTCTTGAAAGATCAGGCTTAATCACAGGCTTTACCTAAGAAGAAACATCACACACACAAAAACTGGTTAAGCGAAGCAAATGTTTATGGACCAGTGACAGCAAAGAGCACTGTATCACATTTTAGTACGCTTTAGTATTAATGGCTTATTCACCTAACATCTGATCTTCCTCTCTCTAACTGGCAGGTGGAACAGCTATAAAAGTACAGGTCCCTTCTCCCTTGTCTTCCTTCCCACTGTGGAGATGCAACTCGTCATCTCAGGTGTCATGTTTGTGACAAATGCTGGAGGTTGATCATCAGCTTGGATTCCCTACTGGGCAAGAGGGCAGCACATATTGCAACATGTAGGAAGAGAGAGAGAATATGTGATTGTGGAGTTTAGGGAGCAAAAAATGTAAATCTGTGCCACAACGCCATAGCAATTCTCTCTCTCTTTTTACTATGTATTCAGATCCAGACTGTGCAAATAACAACTTTTCTGAAGTCACAGGTGTGGAAATTGCATGTTATTTCCACACTATGGGAAATAATTGGATTATCATAGTGTAGCACTGTGAATATCAACCATTATTTGTTTTATCCTTTCATTGTTGCAAGATCTATGGACGATCTGCAGTTCTGTTCAGCACAGAGAAGGAGCAGGGGGAAATACTGTTGATTATCACATAGTCCACACCACTAATTGTATATTCGTTTCAACGAATGGTTTCAGTTTTAGAATTTTGCTGTTATTTGATAACAAGAGCAGGTCAGTATTATCTTTTCTCCTTGCACAGTTCATAAATGCTGTCATTGTGTAGAGTTACACATAAGCCCTGCTGGAAACTGCACATAAATAAATCTAATGTGCTATTTAAAAATATGAGGTATGCTGCAATTTTTATCATCTAAAAAATAAATAAATACCAAAAGGTCTAGCAGCATGTAAAATTAAATCTGCTGTTTGCAAATATTAAACAACAATTTGGCACCGAAAATGGGGAAAGAAGAAATCTATAGATGTGTGATAAAATGAGGATTATTTCTAACCAATGAGCTTTCAATTTATTACTTAACTAAACAGGGCAATGAAGCATCCACATTTTACACCTGGAGCTATCCTACTTTCAATTTTCTGTACTGCTGCTGGCATTAATCAGCTGAACTGTTAAAATCACCAGAGAAAAACAGATTAAATGGTTCTTTAAATAGATGATAAATGTATAATTCATATGCTAAAACATTTTGTGCCACACCCAGTAATATCACCTTCAGAAGGAGCTGCATTCAAAAAAATCTCCCTCCAGTTTCCAATTTGCCATTAGAATAAAGCCACATTTTTTGTTGTATCATTGCTCTAGAGAACCAAGAGATTCCCAAATGGTGTTTTCTTTCAGCTATAGTGGTGTTAGTTGTCTAGAAAGCATCCAGGATCCTACCTCATTTGTCCAGCACTTGCATTGTTTTTTGTTTAGCTCCTTGGCATCAGGAACCAGAATTTTATTTTCTAGAAGCAGCACAGAAATACTCTGATGGTTAAAAATCAACCATATCTAGCAAGCAATTTAATTAAACTCCCTTAAAAGGGAGGAGGAGGGAAGAGAGAAAGATTTTCCTAACCGTAAACTATCACAGCAGAGATGATGATCTTTATTGTGCTGAGTTCATCACTGATATGTCAGCAATAATGATGCTGCCTCTTTTCTTGAGCCCAGTGTGCTTAGAAGAGTTGGCCTGGATGTGGGAAACCTGGGTTCGAATCCAGACACAGACACACTTGAGCAAGTCACATTCTCTTAACGTAATGGACACTGCGGAGTTGTCATGAAGCTCTAAAATGGCGCTCCAAAGCAGGAGGGTATTATAACTGCTTCCAAATTTTCCCCAAAGTGAAATGTGATGTGAGTTAGGAGCTTCCAGTTTGGGAAAACATTCCAGGAATTATTAATGAGTTTTAGTGAAGAATGCTGCTCTCAAGACTATTTTCAAAACATACTAAGTGATATAAATCAATTAAAAAAAAGTTGTTCATGATACATCAAAACTTGAGTAACTGAAATACAAAGACAATATATTTTTTGTCCCTGATGTGGTGGTATCCCCAACTGCAGCATTGTCCGGGGACACCACCACATCAGGGACAAAAATTATATTGTTTATGTGATCTTCCACACAGGGTAAAAAACTACTTTTGGAAATATAGTGGAATCTAGTGGAAGGTGTACCCTCATGTCCATGTTAATTGCTTCCAGGAAGAAATCTGTTTGCAACCCCAATTAGCTCAGGAAATCAAAGGAGTTTTGTGCTGTAATTTCACACGACGAAATTGGGGGTGGTGCTCTGGCATACAATTTTTTCCAGCATGTAAAAGTCCTTCCCTGATGGCTCCAAGCCATGTGGAAACATATAGTCCCACCTGAATGAGCTGTGGTCCTTGTAAGCAGGGAGAGATAATGTAGGAACTGATGGGGATCATAAGAACTCACCCTTGGCATGGCCTTTTAAATACCTTCTCTGATGGCTTTAGCAACTTTTTTTATCCACTGTTGGATTGGCATCGATATATCTGACTCCCAGGCATAAGAACAGTAGATCCAATTATTTGGCAATGTGTGCTTCACATCTATCAAACCTCTCATGTTTGTTTTTGCTTTTGCTTTAACTGTGATGGGTTTCCAATTGAGAGTCTGGCATGCTATTTTGGCAATGATACTCTTTGTCTAAAGATGGTATTTACAGCCTGCATTAGTATGAGATAATCACTGCTTGCTTGAATTGACAGCGGATCCCCACCTTGTTGCTGAGTCATATTTAGCCATCTGTATATGTTTTATGGTGCCATTTATTATCTGTTTAGCTGCACCAGCAGGGTGCTACTATTCTGTTTTGTCAATATGCTGACTCTTACCATGTCTCAGTCTTAGGATGCAAACACAATTGCAGAAAGTGTTGGAATAAACTTCTTGAAATCAATCCCCTCCCCCCGACTCATGCAAAATCTTTCGTAGGTGTCTTGCTCATTATTGATCTGTCATCATACATTTCTGTCTAACGCTTAACACTGCTGAGGTTCATTTCATTTTTGTGTTTAGTCTTCATTCATGGTCAGTTCCTGCTGTTCTCTGTACGTCTAAACTGTGTTGACTTTGCAGAATAAAATAAACTACAAGGGAAAATTGGCCATCAGCTGAACACCATAGGGGGTCAGGAGTCACTGCTCATCCTAGGTCAAACAACTTCAGATTACAGTCACTGGGGCTGGCAGTAAAGAATGTCTGTGCAAGCAGGATAATCTTTAACAGTGTCCCTCCAGCATGGATTCCTTTGCCAAGCTGAACACAGGGTCAAAACAAGGCTCATGGAAATGCAACCCTTTCTCAAAAAGCTCAGATAAATAGCTTGGTTTATTGGGACTACAATTCCAAACCAAATTCTGATTTTGTAAAAAAAAAAAAAAAAAACCACCAAAAAACCCCCCATGATTGGGAAGACAACTGTGTCTTCAGTCTCTGCGTATCTTCAGTCCCGACCCCCACCTCCATCATCAATCTAAAAATACCTCTTTCCTGTCCACCCCCACCTGCTTCCCTCCCCATCACTCCACGCCTTACTTTCCCCTCTGCTGTAACAAATGGTAGCAGGAGGATCTCTTCATATCTTCACCAGTAATGGTTGACATACCATTTCCCAAGTCCTGAAATCTATGTCAGATAAGAATTTTGGGCCCACAATTCTAGTTTGTATTTGAATATCTAACTCTGAAACTAGACATGTCATCACTATCTCTAGCTTAGAGTAATAAACTAGACAACTGAGTAGAAACAGACTGGAACCCTCAACCTCTTATTTTGCAGAGACAACCAATTATCTTCTTTATCTTATAAAAGGTTTTCTGTCACCAGCAGTGCATCGACATCTCAGATCTAATTGTATGTCTAGCAACCAACACTTCTCATAACCAGGACCATGGACATAGCCAGTATTTTTGTTAGGGGGCAGGCTTTTGTGGGGGGCGGGGCAGCACAGAACCTCAGATTTGTATTGATTTGCATTTATTTTTATTGATTGGGAGGGCAGCATGCCCAGGACAGAAGCAAAGACAGATGTGCTAAACAGACCTGGAAGCAGAGGGTCAGGAATGCATGTCAGTATTCAGAAGGGCACAGGATGCAGTACAACTACATCATATATACATTTCCAGCATTTGGTAGGCAAACTTAGTTGCTGCTGAGGATACACTGGGTATCATTAGAAATTCTCTGAGACTAATTTGCCTGTTAAAATATTAATTTTCCTATCCGACAGGCTGGCTGTGAAAAATCACATTAGATAAACACAGGAATACTGTGCCAGACTCATATAACAACTACGGGTTTTGGCACCAGTTGGCACCAGATACAGTGTGTTAAATCAGTGATGCAATATATGTTAGTGCTACGATGGTAGTAACAGCCAAAACTGCCAGATACAACTCCATAGAAAGTGAGTTGACATGGAACACAACAGGCTTAAAGAAAGGGGCAAAAATGGAGATGACTCACCCACAGAAACAACCCTTAAAAACCCCCACAAAGTTTCAGCACCAGAGTACAGTACCAGCTTTGTTTCTTCAACCTTTTTTCATATGCCTTGTAGTGCTGTATTAGAGTCTAATAATGACGAGACTGTACAAATGAATGTGAAACTGACCAGCCGCTTGCAGGAATTTGCCCATCTTTCCTTACGACCAATGCTATTGTAGCCATACCACCGTGAACCCGATGATGCTCTGTTAAAGCTGTGTGTAGATCTTTTTATTCATTCATTCATTCATTCAAAACAGGCATGTCCAACTCCCAAGAGACTGTGATCTACTCCCAGTATTAAAAAAAACCTGGCAGTGATCTACCCATTGTGGAGATCTACCCATTGTCATTGGAGGGAGAAGGAGCGTGTGTGGAGTGGGTGGATTGCCCAGAGTTGTTGAGGTTTTTGGGAGGCGGATTGCACAAAGTTTTTTAGGATTCCCCCCATAAATTTTGTACACGATAAGGATCCCGCAATCCACCAGGATCAGCTGGGGATCTACCGGTAGTTCACAATCTACTGGTTGGACATCCCTGATTTAAAATATTTATATACCTCATTTCACGTAAGTACCAAAGCAGTGCACCATGATAAAATACACCAAATTAACAAGAGGGGATTAGTGTCAAATAAATGCTTTGGTAAGGGGCTATGTCTTTAATTGGTGGAGGTACTGGTCATATCTTGCTCGCAGGCAGAGTGGGAGAAACTGTTCCTCAAGGCAAGTGCCACCACTGCAGAGAATGCCTTATTCCTGGATGCCACCAGATGGACCATTGAAGGCTGTGGCACCACCAAGAGGTGCTCCCCTGAAGAATGGCCAAGTTAATATGCAAGAAGACACAGTTTCAGATACCCAGGTCCCAAGTTGTTTAGGGCTTCATAAATGGGTAGCAAATCTATGGGCTTGGGAGGTTCATAAAACTGTTCTTCTTGCAAAAACATTTTTTACTACTGGTGCCTGGGGAGATGAATCCTGAATTCTTAGAAGTAGTGGTTGAAGAAAAATGCTCACTAGCATGTGTGCTGTGCAGATTAGTTTTTACAGTAATTGAGAGACCAGTCTACAAAGACACTCATATATTTTACAGTAGGCCATTTCAACTCTGCCGCTCCACACCTGTCTTTGGAGAAAACTATTTTCATTACTCCAGTTGAATAATCAGATGATATTCTGAAATATAAGAATTATTGCTTCCTTCTCTTTGTAATATCAGTGTGTTTAAGGTTTTCTGGATTCTATGAAGCAAAACCACACCTGTTTTCTTTTAAAATGCCCTGTCTTCTGAATTATATGCACTAAATGAAAATGAATGGAATTAATTAGGCTTTGCAAAAAAATATTCATAATAATAATCAATTATTTTTTTATGGAAAGAATGATCTGCTTCTAAATGTTTCCTTTTTAAATGTAAGAGTAACCTATATTTCATATAGCACAGAAATGGATGAATTAGCTCATCCATTATACCTTTTCAGCTACATTATCTTTTTAATCTCTGGTCTTTACCAGAATTTTAATCTTTCCTTGTAATACCTGTAGCCACATGTCTTCAATCATTTTTGCTCCCTTTCTTTCTCTGAGCTGTGTCTATATTTTGCAGTCTCGTTTTAAAATGAGATGGGCCAACTCTGAAAATGGCATTCAAGGACATACGGTTATCATTGATTTATATTATGGCAGTATATTATTATCCATATTGTTCCCTCTCGCCTGCATTTATTACTTTTTGACTGTCATGATGTTCCCAGGAGACATCTTCATTCACCAGTCCACAGTGACACCTAAAACTTGCTAGAAAGTCCAATATCTAACATTTCCCATTTTTTTCAAGATCAAAAATGTGCTGCTTTTACCCAGCACAGATCCAGGGCTGAGTAATCCTTTCATAGCCCAGAACTTTGAATCTGAAAGCAAGTCTTCAGTGTTTAATTAGAAACATATAAAACTACCTAGTTCACTTAAAGAGAAATAATACATGAAAGATGATAGTTTTAGATCCGCAATTATTTCATCATTCTACCAACCTTCAGCTAAGTCTTGCTGAGATTAAAGTGCTGTAACCTATAAATATGTCTTAGTTACAGCCATCCTGCTGATATATCTACATTTTAACCAAGTGACTAGAGAGGTTTTTCTTCCTCACACCTGATTTGCTCAGCCATAAATATACAAAGTGGCTTCAGGCAAAACATCTTTTGACCTCAGTTCACTTGTCTCCGAAACAGGAACAAGTGGGGGAATAGTTGTGACACCGAGTTCTGTCCCTCCATACCATCCGAATGAGATGAGGCTGTGCAAATCTTGGATCATTGTTTGAAGACCACCACTGGCTGAGGGCCTGCTCTAGATGAAGTCACACTCTCCTCTGCAGTAGTGGGTTCAGTTTCTACTAGGTGTGTGTGTGTGTGTGTGTTACTTCTTGGTTCAACATTGTCACTGGACAAATCACTTGGCACTGTTTACAGGCAGAAAGTGAAAGGGCCCTTAGTTTATACAGTCGCACCTTGGAATTCGAACGGCTTAGTTGCCAAACGTTTTGGCTCCCGAACGATCAAAAACCGAAAGTGAGCGTTCCAGTTG